GGTAGCAGGTATTTAGGAGTGTTTTGGAGCTAAAAGCCACCGACTGGTTTAAACCAGCAGAGCCCCCCGGCCTCAGCCAGGCCAGGCCATGCTGCAGGGCCATCAGACTCTCAAAAGACACTTTAGCATCAGTACAATGTCAGTCTGAGATAAACCTGTGAGAAATGAAGTCCTGAAGTATCCTCTGGGGGTGTAGTGAGGGTGGGGTGGTGGGAATAACCAGCAGTGTTATGATCTATGAGGGTAGAATTATCCATTAGGAAAACAAAGTCTCAAGGCATGTAAATACCCAGTGTTCCCTGCTGGCTTTGATGTTAAAAGATCAACAGGCCCAGATGAACAACGATCCCTCCAGATTCAGTTACACTATCACAGTAGTCTTCCTTATTTCCTATAACCCCGTTTCCCTCTACCAAGGCAGGTGTGTTGTACCTAAAGAAAACAAAACGACCACAAAAGGAGGGATCCATCAGCACCATCTATCGTGCACTTCTCAGCTTTCATGTGCCATTGCTGCATGGCACCACAAACACACAAGGAGTACTGTAAAGGTAGGCAACCATTCAGTTATGCAGGTCATCAATTTGAAAGCTCTATATCACATGAATGCATTTATTTTCTGCGTCATGGATGTCAGATCTAACAGAAAAAAGAGTAGGAAATACTGTTCAGCTATCTGACAAAGCTCCCACAAGCACTATCCATGGTCACGCTCAGTAACTGGCACTTGTGAGACTGCGCCATACACATTGAGTTCCAGGCTTCCTGGTACAAAACAGACAGTGACACAGTGGAGGGAGACCACTAGCAGGACTGGGATGGGTAGGGACCTGGAACAGGGAATGAGGAAAGAGGCTGACAGCAGCTCCTGTCCTGTTGTAAGAAAAGGTTAACGTGGAGGAATCTAATCTCTGTAGTCCCGTTACCTAATGGGAGGAGGTTACACAGAAGGTCTCTAATGGTCATTTTCCCAGGGAACATGGTATACACATGTCTGCAGAAAAGTATTAGACTTCTTCAGAAACTTTTAGACAACTAATAGTTTGCTAGATAGAGTTAACAGTTTACTTTTGGGAGCTTTCTAATCTTCTGTTGACAGAACTTTCTCACCTCACTTTTCTGGAAGGTCAATGTAACGCACAGGCATCAGCTTTCCCAAAGAACCCAGAACTCTCTGCTTTCTTGTCCTGTTCTGTTTTGTCCCTGAGAGAAAACAAAGTTCATGGCTGAGTATGCATTTGTGTTTCTGCTTTAAACAGCAGAGAAGTCACTCCTGTCTTCCGCTATAAATCAGAAATAAACCTCTAATAGAGGCAGAACAGTCATAAGAAATCAAAGAAACTACATGGCCAAGACATTTAAGCTCCAACTACTGAAGGCACTGACAGTATTCTCTCTGATAAAGAACAAGGTTTCATAAGGACCATCCTTCAGGGCACTGGAAGGGGAAAAAATAAACACAAACACAGTACACAGTTATTTTATTGAAATACTTGAAAAGGCCAGCAATGGAAAAATAGGTTTGTCATGAGGAATTAATGTTTGATTTACTTGATATTAAAAAAAGCTGTGTCTATAGGTAATTCTAGTCAGTTACAGAATGCACTGTGATCCATGCAACTAATATACTACAGTAGAATAGGCACTGTGTACTATTTTAGTTTTGTCTTATACACAGCTTCCAACAGGTATGATTGACAGATGTAAGAAATTAAACAGCAACACTTTTTGAATTATAAACATTTATAATATACAAATTTGCTCATCTGATCTGTAGGGGTTATAAAACACATTGTGGACAATGAAAACACAAATTGCACACAGCGTTATGAATTCGACCTGGAAGGTCTTGAAGTTTCATGTTTTTCCCTTTAAAAGCAAAATCAGACTGAATGTGTCACTGGTCACGTAACATACAAAGTCATTGGCCAGGACAGCAACAGGGGCTCTCCTGAAATTATATGTAGTCAGTGGGGAAATTTGTTCATCAGTTAAAAAGAACAGAGAAGAATGAAAATCACAAATTCTACCTGGTATAGCTTGTAGTCCAAAAAAATAAAGTCACTTCAGATGAATGTGAAATAAATAAGCAATCCTTGAGGAAGTGTGATCCTTGAGTTGAGCCTACTCGATTTCAACTATACAACTAGTATGTCACCATGGTGAAACATTCAAGAACAGTATTCTGAATTGCCTTTTGGGAAGCAATGTCTTACTGCTTTAATATGTACAGGTTATTTACAACAAATTCCCTTTCGGCCTCACAAGTTAAGCCATTTGAGCTGGCTGTTAAGATGCAATTCTTTTTTTTCACACATTATGCAATACTGTAGTTAGAGCTATAATTTAAAATAATCTTATGCATGAATTACAAATATTAACAAAGTAACTCTGCATATATAAATATTTCTAGCAGAATTTAAAGCATTCAGAATGTACATAAAAGTGGGGGGCTTTATTTGGTAGGGCCAGATGTGCTTCTTATCAGATCATCGCTGCTTTAATAATGCTTTGTACATAGCAAACCCCAAAACTGCAAAGACAGTAGCACCAAAACTTGCTCGGAGCCAGAATGTAGAGCTCTTGAGGTCTGCTTGTGTCACATGCCTGAAATTTAACACACATAAAAAAACAGGTTAATTCCATGACAAGAATTCATCAGACAACTTGTGCTAAACTACTCTGCTTTTGGAAATTCATCACTACACTTGTCACAGGCAAGCAGGTTACAACTCAGCCTTCTCAGGCCTTACACAGCCATTTTACTTTTCTTAAAGGCTTAGGATTTGATCTGCAGCCCTGATCACATCAGTAGATCTCACTAAAGTCAGAGAGCTCACACAGCTGAAGAGAAATGCAGGAGCAGATCATTAGTCATGAATGGGGGGAGGACAGTGTGTCTTCTTTGAGAGCACCAGCAAGCATTTGGAAAAGGAAAACAAAAATAGCCAGCAAATAATTAATAACCCATAGCAAGAACTCTGTCCAGCAAAATAGCCTTTCAGTGTTGACTTTGCATAGTTCTGCTTTTCATGAAAAACTTCCCAGTCCTATTGGATATCTACTTATTCTTCTTCCCCTCAGAAAAGTTTACTGACAAGTAGCAAGTAATATTTTTCCAAAAGCTAGAATCAAAAGGACCATTTGTAAATCCCTTTCTTCCCAGTACAGTCGCAAGAACAGCAATAGAAACAGTCATCCAATACCAAGCTGAAAGTAAGAGAAAGTGCTAGTGAATCAAGCAGTGACAATGGCATCAACAGAAAAAGACGAGATGTAACAACAGTATGAAGTGACTGTATGACATAAAAAGCCACATCTTGCATGACAATAGCCAATGACACAAATTGGCTCCCAAATACTGCAAGAAGTCTGTGAGCATGCTCAGTTAAACACGGCTAGCCATCCTCACAAGTAGTCTCAAGTATGACAGCTTACCATAAAGCAGGAGCTACCCTTTAAAACAAGTTACCATAAATGCCGTAATTCAAAGCATAAGAAGTTCCTAAACAATAGTGAAGGTTTTTTCATTGTTTGTTTTTGTTTAAGATAGAACTTTGAACAGAACTTCACTAGCCTGAGTATTTTAGCCTGTATTAATCATCACAGGTTATTCGGTGAAAGCTGCAGGAGTATTAAGTATAAGGAGCATACAGAAATCCTAAGCATACACAGTGCACGAGAGAGTTCATACAGTGTGAACTGCAGAGTTATAGCGTACAAGCTGTTTAATAAAGCAGGAATTGTTACTTGCTATCAAAATACACAAAATCAGTTTAGGGTATTCTTTAGTAGATGTTTGCAGGAGCAATATAAGCCATATAGATCATCAGTGTACTGTCATATCACATGCTGAAGAACAGCCTCTTTGGTATACAAACAGCAAATCACAGCTGGTCTCTAAGAAATCCTCATCTTATTTAAGAATATCTGGCTAGGTTATGGAACAGCTCAAATTCATTATATCCTGCAAGCATTAGTTCTTCTATAGCTAGTTTTGACAAACTCTCTGCAAACTAGGTGTCAAGTGGTTTGCTGAGAGGAAGAAAGGGAAAGGCAATGGCAAGGTCACCTTAGTTTGGCTGTTGTTACCTGTCTTCAAGTAAACGTGGACCAAGAGATGACTCCATGAAGATGGAATCTTCTATAGAGTTGACGGCGTGCACCTGCTGCATAATACTGCTCTCCTCGTCTGCTAACAGCATGGCCCCCAACTCATCTATGTAGGCTCTTAACCTTTTTACACACATGCACAGTTTGCAGTTCATAGCATGGCTCAACAACAGCAGTGTCTCAAATATGCTCAAATAACAAAGCCCAGAGAACTTGTCATTTTTAGCCATCTAGCTCCTGATTTGCGTGCAGTTGTTAAAAACTTACAAATAAATGGGGTTTGTACTTCTGATGAGCTGAGTAAAATAAATGATTTTATGTATCTAAATGCCATTGCTTTAAGGACAAAAAACTGATTAAGGAACTGAATCTCTTCCCACTCCATCCCCAAAGCCTCAACTTCCATGTGTCCACAGATCCTGCAATACTCCAGCATCATACACATGAGCTAGAGTACCTGTGCTAAACACACGGGAATGACTCCAACACATCAGCCCTAAAACTGACAAGATCCCATTAATGTCAAGAATTCAATTAAAGACTGCATTTTATCACTACACCTAATGAGTGTTTTTTTTTAGTAAAAGACTATAACCCCCTTGTCTACAGATCTGTAAGGATAAAACTTATCTATGTAAAATTAATCGCTTGTATGTAACATGATTTTAACAAGCTCTGTTGGGTGTTTGTATAACTAACAACTCTTAGGTTTAATTTGGTTTAATTCAAACACCCAACGATTTGTATAATTTAAATACATCCCTTTAAATGTGCAAATCACTGTTAAAGCTGCAAATGAATGCTTTTGCATTGCCTCATAAAGCATTAGCTCTCACATCTAGATTTTCTGATTCCTGTCTATGATTTGCCTTGTTTTAAGTTTTGCACATGCCTGTATTTAATATATGCAAGAAACTTGCTGAGCATGCTTCACCCTTTAAAAAACAATTAAGATATTCTCAGACATGATAAAAATCCTCTTTTCATGTCTAAAGGGAGAGTAAATTGACTCTGATCCCTTTTCTAAGCCTAACAGAATCTTTCATTTAACTAAAGGAAATAAATCAAGGCAGGGATTTGTCTTATAACCTCAAGGAAATCTATTGACTTCAGTAAGAAATCATTAGGGCCCTCTGAACATAACCCAAAAATCCAAAGGCCAAAAATGCTTACTGAAATCCAGAGCATTAAGAATGTCTAATTGCTTTACACCTTTGAAAAAAATTCCACTGTTTCTTCCTGAAACGTTCTTTATGCTGCCTAAGTCCATTTTCTGCAATTTTGATCCCTAATATTGTTTAGCCGCCATTAAGGGGGGGAAAAAATAGCATCTGTCTGAAATGATAAAGCAAACCAATGTTTGTTTCCAACACATGAAGGTGGCTGTAATGCAGAAAACATTTCTCAATACAGACTGAAAAATTCTACCTCTTCAATAAGTAATGTCCTAATTTTATTTCAGTGTAGTAGAGCTATAAAACTAATTTTCACCAGTGGCAGGAATTATTACTGCCTTGCTAGTATGAGAATAACTCTGAGTTAGAAAAACTATCCTCTCCAAGGGTAAAACATGCATATGGATGTGTACATATACACATATAGAGTAGCAGTTAGGACTCCAGAAATGAAGCTGGTTTTGAAGCTCTTGCTTGTTAGTAATACTAACTCGCTTTCAAACTTCCCAAATAGTTTGGGGTGTGTATTTAACCATACAATTAGTTCCACACATTTAATAAGCAAGCCTAAACATTTTGCCTTTAGCATAAAACTCAGATTTTAATGCATGTTTTGGAAAAAAAAGACATTTTTTTCAACCTACCCTGAACAGCATGTCAAGTACCTGCTCACTGGCTGAATAACATCTTTGAGATCTGCACGGTCTTCCTCTTAAGAGGCTTTAACAACTCACAAGAAGTTTATAACATGCACTTACCAAGAGGTTAACTGAGCATGCCTGTCATGGTTACACACAGAAAATTGCTGAGTTATGGGCCAATACTGACACTTTCCCCTACGTCAGCAGCAGGAGAATCCCAAGTCTGGGAAGGTTTAACCTGAACTACAAAAGTTCAAAACCATTCTTTTATTAACTGAAACAGCTTCTTAAAAAGCACAGTGGTGAGGCCAACAGGCTTGTCACACGGCTACTCACACCAACATTAGAAGCATGTTACTGCAGCCAGTAAGCAGCAGCAGAAGCCTGCTCCACAGACAACAGGTTCTAACAAAATACAAGCAACTGAATTCCAAACCATCGTGTTAACATGCACAAGCTGCTGCAGCTTCCCTTCAGGCATGGGTTTTCCTCAGATGCAAACCAACCCCAGCAGTTAAAGAGTTTTCCCCCATGCATTTGTTATCTAAAATGTGAAAAGCTCCAAGTGCATCTTATTATCTGCAAAGCCTAAAAAGAATGTACAATGCCAATTCAATATATTCTATTTGGAAAGATGCAGCTTTGCAAGTTTCTACTTAATATGGGGCATCAAACAGTTTAGAGAAGGAGGAAAAAGGTAAGTAAAATACAGTTATACTGTTCCAATTTGGGGATGTGCAAGGATAGGGATAGATTCTGCCACTAGATTTAATGGCAGTATACTGTATTTTGGAGAAATACTTGCATATATGACACACAGTAAAAAATAAATCCCGGGTTATTGTCTTCAAGCCTTCCCACTATTACAGGAAAATGAAACTATGGTTTTAATTTTAGAAGGAAAGTTTTCATAGAAAAAGGAATCATCTTACAAATAATTTTTGAATCATCCATTTTTTATATGCAAGTAGAACTTCACTTGTATTCCACAATATTTAATAACCTTAGATGGGAGAAAAACATGCTCTGAGAATTCTCCCTTGGCCAAAACCCCAATTCTCATGCATTAGAACCATTTTACTTTGAAATTAACTTAGCTTAGACAGAAAAATGCCACTACTGTACAAGCAAAAGGCAACAGGTGAATGATTTAAAACCAAGAAAGCAGAAAAACACACTTAAAATGGATGCTCCGCAGTTAAATAAAAAAGCAGCCAAAAAATCCAAGCTCATCATTAAAGAAAGGATTAGAATGACACCAGCAGAAACCTTGCTTTTAAAAAGAGGTAAAACAATGTAGTAAAAAGAGATTAAGTGCCAGCCAGACAAATACAAATGAACACCTAAAGGAAAGAACAAATTAAAAATATAAAAATACTACAGGATAGTAACAAGTCTCATACATGCATGTCTAGTGCTTTGAATGCAGTGCCTTTTCCTCTAGGAATGAAAAAGCGTGATCCTGGGTAGTTCAAACCAACAATCCCGTTCCTGCACAATAAACACTTCTAAACTGAGCTTCATTGTGTTTTGTATTTGCCTCTCTGACACTTACAAACCCTTGTGAGAGTCTCCAGCTTTCGTCCATGGAGAAACTGAAGGTGGGCCTGAACAGGTTTTCCAGTTGCATAGAGGCAGTGCTCTTCCTTTAATTACTAAGGTGGGAATAGTCAAATATGATACAAATGCTTTGCCGTGGTAACAGTGTTTAAGCATTATTTAGCAACAAATAATATAGGAAAGGGTCCAATGTGAGAAATTTCAGTTTACCTATTTCCACTGTGTAAAGCTTCAGTATAGGAAGGGATCAGAAAAATAAAGTACTCTTGAGAAACCTCCTTCACCCATCAGTTATCTAACTTTTGCCCAACTATCTGACCTAATGGTAAGCACATGTAAAGGCAAAATACGAGAAGTTCTATAAACTAACTACAACAGAAACCCCTTCTTGATTCAGATGCTTTCTTCAATCTAATCACAAATCATTAGAGTAAAAATGCATATAAGGAGCTTACAGTTTTAAACAGGAAACCCATCTCCACCCTCCTAAGTCTACAATTAGCAGCTATTCCCTTGTGTTTACAGGTCTCTTCGCTTTATTAGATGCAGTTTTGCAGTAGTTCACGCACTGAGTTCCAGAAAGGAAATGCCTCTGAGGAGCTGACTAGGAAGAGAGTTGGTGAGATGAAGTGAACATGCTGGAAACCTGCAACAAACCCCTAGGGGGTGACTACAGACAAAGGGATTCTAGCAAATAATCCTTCCTTTTTGTAGGGTCAGTGGAAAAGTCTGTGAGGAATTCTCTTTACCTTGAATTACAGATGGTTTTTAGGCAGTAGTAGGTTCCTATGTTTATTCCACACTACCTAGTGACAAGGTGTGGAATAACAGCATCCCCAGACTTCTTATTAAAAGATTTTAATACCTTGAGTGTTTGACAGTATTTCAGATGAACAAAGTACAATGTCAGAAAAGCCACAGCCCCATAGAAGAGAGAAACAAGCCATGACGGCTAATGCAGCAACCCATAACTATTCAAAAAAATGGAGATGTGTTAGAGGTGATTTTAGCCTCAATAGCAAAGAGTTGGGATTTTCTAGTGGTGACTGCTGAATGAAGTTTTAGAGTGACAATATGCAAAGTTGTTGCTGTTGCAAGGATTATTTTCCTAAGGGATGACTGCTGTAGAAGAGATGCAGCATGATCAGTCTCACTCATTCACAGTCTTTCCCTAAGCTAATGAATTTTTCAACCTTCTCTGAATTCTCACTCTGTGGTTAACACTTTTAGCTTGGATTAAAGTGGTATTTCACAAGGATGCTCAGTACTGTAGGTGGGTATATTAAGCAGGCCTCCTATGTGTAACTTGCATTTAAAGGAGACAACCACTCTTATCTGGAGCAGCTATATATGAAAGCAGTAAAAACTAGTAACACACATGGACCAGCAGCATGTCAGGATGTTCGGTTAGAACATCAAATAAACATGTTTATCAGAGTTGCCTCCAAGAATCACATCTATCGTACAAGCCCCCAAGAAGGCCATGAATGATGACATCACTGTGCTACTAAAATTGTTCGGTTTGAACTCCCATTCACTGGGGTGTGATGAAAGTGCTGAGGTGTTAGTAAATCAATGTGTGTGTCAAAAACTGCCTGCAGTAGACACAGGACAAGGTACAGCACTGTTTTCAATGCTGAAAACCAGTTTGTTTTCCACAAAGCATCTGCAAATGCAAATGTTTAACCATTTACCACTTCTTACATGTTGCATTCTATTCAGGGAGGAATTGGATGTTAAAAGATCTACATTTTTTTAAGTTTTACACAAAATACCCACTCTTTGTGTAAACTAAGCATAGCACACACAGAGAAATTCTATGAATTCCCAAATATCAAACTAGCAATTATAAACACATAGTCTGTTATATGATGCTGCTACAAGACAAGCTGTGCCTTTATGAAAATACCTGTGTAACTGATAGCTAAGAGGCACTACCTCTAGTCAATACTAAACAAACCTATAATGTCTCAAGTGAGACACATTACAAACTTACAGACACTACTTAATGTCCATTACCAGTTGGCTAAAAACAGTCCTAATTCCTCCAGAGTATTTTTACAATCACTTTAATGCCTGAATCAACTACCACACTGGTAATACTTCAAAGAAATCACTGGGCTAAGCTTGAAAGACCAAAAGTAGCTTTGAGTTAAACAAAATTTGACAGTTCTGTGACAATTATTAATGTAAGTATCTGCCTATGGAGTAGATATGGAGTGAGAAATCTGAGGTATATAAGGTTACCACTCTTTCAAAAACCCTTTATTTTAAAAGCACACCTGGTACCTAGTAAATAAAGTTAAGGACCTGTTAAGAACTGCAGTGAAGAGTTTGTTCTTTACAGATTGCAGCAAGTCTGAGTTGAGGAAGTTCTGACAGATGCAAAATGTACACCTGTTGCAGGCGCACATACAGCGTAACCGGGCATGGCTGCGAAAACACACAGAAGGACAGGAATTGAAATCTTGCTCATCAAATCAGGTGCACATTAGGACTGTGCCACAACCAAGAGAGATTCAGGAATAAAAAGGTACATTTGAATGAGTAAGGAGAGGAGGGGAAAAAAAAAAATACACTGGGGAAGCAAGGGTACAACTACAGCTGTGCAGAGTTTTAAGGTCAGATGTTCTATGTCTTGGACATTTTGGCATTACCACCATACACAGATCTTAATAGTAAAGCACAGACATGAATGAAAATGTTGGCTGAATTTATTTGAGTTTGTAAGGTATGCCTATAAGTTTGTATGTCTGCACAGCAATAGGTAACACCCCGTTTTCAAAGGAAAGTAAGCCACATTTTCTACCAGTCTGAATGCACACTTTACGAAGTGACAGTTGCCTCTACTTTTCCCACCCTAACACATACACATGCTTGAAAACTAAGGGAGAAGCAGGAATATCGATATGACAGACATTTGGTCAGTGCGACACTTTAGTGGTTTCCCATTATTCCAGCGCTACAAAATAAATATAAGAGAACAAAAACAAAATAAAAGCTTTACAAATCTAATACAATAAATTGTTTCAAATATTCAGAAAATAAATCCTATTATTTTGAGTGAAAGTGACATTATTTCTGTGTAATTTAAGGCAAATGTCAGCTGTCATACTAGACTCCATCTGCTGTAATATTTATGTAATCCGTCACCATATTAAAAGCTCCACCCACCAAAAAGAGATGCAAAGTGAGCTTAGCAACAACGAGATGTGAAGAAGAAAGTGAGCTTAAATATCTTATTGCATCTGAAGCTCAAAAGGTGTTTATACAGAAATTCTATTAAAAAAATATATAAGATCTATTAGATTAATGAACTGAAGCACAAAGTAATCACTGAACCATAGAATGGTTTGGGTTGGAAGGGACCTTAAAGCTCAACCAGTTCCAACGCCCTGTCACAGGCAGAGACACCTTCCACTCTAAGCCCCATCCAACCTGGCCTTGCACACTGCCAGGAGCAGGGCTAGCAACAAGCTCAAGTTGAACTATACAAGGAATATGGTACAACATTCACAAGTATCTCAAAAATACCAAGACATGAATACTGAGATACTGAGTTGTGCATCCGTAATAAGGACTGAACAGAACCCTACATATTCATTGGAATTTGCAACATGAGCTGGATGAAATAGTGTATTCTTTAAAAAATACCTTACACCAATAGCTGATACTGATTTATATGTTGGATATATACCAACTTGCTCAATTTGAAGTAATTTGAGGATTCTACTCAGGTCACTTCTGTCTCTCTGTTGCTAAATCTCAGTGAGGCAGTTCCATCCTCATGGCTAACAATGACATGCAGTGGTATTGTGCGTGACTCATGCAACATGAAGAACGTAACAGTTAAGTACTTACGGATACATTGCCATAGTTGTCAGTTTAACAAAGATATCCTTACTCGGCACATCAATAGTGTTACAAGTAAAGGCTTGAGGTGGAGGCATTTTGTGTTTTTTGCAGAATTCAGCAGGAGAAATACTATATTCTTGTCTAACTTCATGCAAGTCGGACTTTGCAGCTACCACCAAGCATGGTATTCTGCTATCCATGAAGTGCTGCTGCAAGTTTAAAAGAAAAGACACAGTATATGAAACATGGCAACCTGGAATAGCCTGAATTGAACTGGTTGCAGCAGCATTAAGATATTTTCATTTCACTGAAGTGAGGCTTTTCTAGAAGCAGAATATTTTAAATAGACAACTAAACATTAGCTTTGAATAATTAAAACTACACTTTTAAATCATGAGCCATATTTAACCAGCATTCCTAAATAAAGTGTCTTTTAAGCACCAGAACTTGTGTATAGGATCAGTAACTGACACTGAATATTTTGTCAGTGAGAAGATACATAAATGTGAAGGCTTGTTTATATATAAACTGTACAAACCTTAAAAATCCTGGCACAGTACTCAAAGGACTTAGGGTTACTGACATCATATACCAGGCAGACGACATCGCATATGGTCTCAGCATCAGTTAAAAAGTCAGCATCACTGACATCATGTAGCTGGGAAAAACAGATGGTCAGAGAGGGAGAAAAGCTTTGTCATTATGCAGTTAAAGGAATTTCGTAACTTTCTTTTTCTCATAATTTTTATGGCTCATTTTTATATATCCTTAGAACTAATGGACAGACAATAGGCAGAATTAACGATAAAGAAATAGTAGGAATTTACCACACAGACAGCATATGTGAGCTGTTATCGTATCTGCAGGCAATGATAACATCAGCATAAAAGTTAACATTTACTTTAACACAAAGTCATAGATTCCCACGGAAACTACATTCATCCTACAGAGGAAAACCTCAGAGCAGAGGACCAGATCTTGGAAAACAAAGAAAGATACCCTATTTCCACAAAGAAAAACTACATTGGAACAAGCTTTAAAGAACATACTTCACTCACAGAAGATTAACTTTAGCCACCCTAACCACCCGATGCGACAGATTCTTCTTTACTGAATAGGAGGCCTGCTTGCTGATAACTTATCACATGTTACAATTTGATGCCCTGCAGGATAAGCCTAATGGGCTGGATTCTTTACCTCTTAGGTCAAGGTTTCAAAAACAACAGGTCCAGTTTAGAGTATTAGCAACATGTTAAACCAGAAGTTATTTGAGCTGAGAAAGGGAGGGGAAGAATGGAACACAAACACACACAGGTTTATGGAGACCATTAAAACAGAAATTTGTTTGCAGAAGGCTCCCAGTACTTCACTGAATTTTAACATTACAAGCCTTATGCAAACAATAATGAAGCTACCTTACCAGCAAGTATTTTTCCTGTCCATATACATAGACTGTATGAATGGCGTAGTAAGATTTGTGTTCTGCACGTATTTGCCTCTGTCTCTGCAAAGGCAGAATTTCATGTTAAGACCACAGCAACTTCTTCCCTTTAAGTCAGATCTGAACAGCTGTTTTACTGCATTTATTAGTGAATGAAAATTACTGCAATCTTTGGTTTATATGCACAGCTATAATCTGTGATGTACAATTACTGCATGCAACAGCCATTTGTCTATTTGCTTCAAACCCCAAAACCAATCAGAACAAAACCCACCCTCCCCAATAATTCTGTATTCCCCCATACAATTCTCCAAACTCAGTAATAATCAGTAAAGCTCTAAGATCAATTGGGTTTGCTGTCTAACTTTAACTCAAAAGCATATATAGGTGAATATAAGCAAAAGGTTTCTTACAAATAGATTTCTTCCAAGAAGAGCCTGAAGAACTCCACTTTTCCCACAGCCTTTCATTCCAACAACATTGCATAGGAAGACATTTCTCTGAGTCTGTTTTTTCTGCAGGTCTATCTTTTTATCTCTTGTCACTTTTGAAAAACACACATACATTATTCACAAGATGTACGTGAGAACATGAAATAACTGCCTACTTGCATTAAAAAGCATGCAAAACCATCTCGCACAAATATTAAATCAAAGATTTGACTTGAGCAGAAAATTAAAGAGAATAAAAGCCCATTATTTTAAACAATTTACTCTTGAGCAGATTCCTAAATTTAAATTTCTACGCTGTAACAGATTTTTTATTACCTGTAATTGCTGATGCTTGAGATTCTTGTTCTGCAAGTATGGAGTAGCCCAAGTAACCCAGGTACTCCAGGCAACGCTGTACATCTAAGTACGTGGTCAGTCTTGTAGAGGGAACAAAAAGAAGTTTCTAAATTGCTAGCGTCTGTGATACCAATTCCTACAGTACTGAAACAACTTTCCCCTCCTATCTCCAGGCTGACATGACAGAAGCATTCCTGGCACTATGTAGTACTGAAGGACAAAAGCACTCTGAAGGTAAACGGTGGCAGCTTTACCAGGCTTAATAGTCTGGAGAACACTATGAAAGCACACTTGCTGAGGCTGACCAACCTATACCACACTGTTTTCCCCCCTCAGCAAATAATGCTTTCCTCATTTTCCATAGGAAAAAACCCTCAGTGTTCGAACACAATTATTCATACCAGCTCTAAAGATTAGAACAACAGAAGTAAATATTTCAACAAGTTTCAGAGAAATTTCCACATTTCTGAAGAGACACTTCTTCAGAGTTAGCACTAAATACTGGCCAAATCCTGAACAGGCTATAACAATTGAAGATTAGGCCACTGGATGGCTGCAGAAACTTGACTACTTGGGTCAATTTCCAGCTATTAAACTTTCAATCTTTCTACTAGATTTTTAAGAAGAATCTACAGACACATTATCATGCCTAAAGTTCTCAACTACTAAAACATCATACTTACGTCCACTGAGAGAGAAACCCTTGGTATGTAATCCACCCCCTTTCATTTGTACAAACAGTGTTGTTAACATCAGGTCCCCATGGCATATAAGGGAAGACTTTGAACAAATCTTTCAATTCATCAGGAGACAAAGCACAGTCTCTATCCTGAAAACAAGCATACAAAATCAGACCTAAACCACTTCATTGATGTCTATTCTAAACAGATATTTTCTTGCTGTATGCTCACAAGATTCAAGGAACTGGCTATAAAATACCCTAAGCTGCTTTCTTTTTAATCATCATTCTTTTCTTGGGTTTAAGTAGGACTAAATATATAAGCTAGTTAAAAACAAATGGTAGTACTTCTGTAACTGCCAACTCTGCTTGTAGACAGAAATACAAGCAGCTGGATAGTTCTGACTGCATAGTTTAAGCCAGAGACAGTTTCTGAATGAAATGGCATGACAAAAACAACTTTGCTAGTAAAATTGCTAGCAAAATTGCTAGCAAACTAAGGCTCTTAAGTAGAAGGGGACACATGCACTCAAATTAAAAGCTTACCAAATCATGCTTATCAAAAATACTCTGAAGAAACAAGTATGCATGATGATTTAATTCTGTTGTGCAGTCCTGAGGAATCTTTAGCCTGTTCATTGAAAACAAAACACACAAACAAAACAAATACAAGAAGTGTGAAGTGTTTTTATGAAATATGGAATACTAAAACTCAAAATACAGACTTTTTAATAACACCATTTAGCATCTGACCTTTACACTTAGCTTTAATAATTTATCTTTAAAGAGACAAAACCATATACTTTTTATTAAGAATTCTAAAATTATGAATGTCTTTATATGACATGATATACTGCTATCTAGTTACCAGCGTTTTCTTTGGTTGGTTTGGTTTTTGTGGTTGGTTTTAGGTTTTCTTAATTGAAAATTATGACTTACATTTTTTAAAAGAAGCCACAGAATTGGTCAATCTCAACTTCTTAATCTGAGGATTTACAAAGAATCTCAAGTGCTATGAAAAAACTGACAAGCTTTTTCTAGTCTGTTGCCATATACAATAAGCAACTGCTCCAATTTACATTTCAGTTTTCTATTAAGTCTCTCTTGGCATGTTTCTTACAAAGAGAGAGCAGCACATGATTTGGCACAAGAGACAGGAGTTCTTCCTTCGTCATTTTCAGTCACATGCAGATTTTGGCTGGTAGGTCATAAAGCAAGGCAGATATTGATGTAACAATGTGTTATATAAACACACCACATAACCCTTTCCTCCTGCCAACACAGGAGGCAGCACAAATTAAATGCATGCAAGTTAAAAAAAAGTAAAGTGATACATACGGAGGAAACAAGTACTCTGGTGTAAGCTCTAAGTCATCATCATACCCAAAGCGACGTAAAACAGTCCAAGTTGTTTCATGCCTTCCTCGCTGAATGAAAAGTGTGTGTAGAAAAAGAAAACCTAAAAATCAAATGATGAAATCTTAAGGCCCTGAAATGCTTTATCTGCTACAAGTATTTTTAATGGAATCAATATCAGACTGAAAACAAAAAGCTTGAAACAGGCATTCAGATTTTAAACCTCCTGGGTGACATTAGAGCATTTTCTACACAGACTGAAGGTTTCAGAAGTCATCTTATTTGCAAACTGTCCTCCAAAGAACTGTTTCCTTAAAAGAAGCCACTTGGTTTTCTGTTGTTGCTTCTTTTAGGATTAGTGTTTTAGAAGTTTTTAGCTGTATGAAAATAAAGACAATATTTTCAACAATTTAAAGTAGGAAGCCTGGACGGTAGTCTCATGGCCTTTTGTTTCCCTGTATCAAAATAACAGGGCAGGATTTTAATTTAGGACTTTCCAGAGCTTAATGAACACTGATTTAACCATTTAGTAAGTCAATGCCTTAAGATTCCCACTCCTCACAATGTCTCCCAAGTTCTCTTACATATGTAAGCTCCACAAGGAAAGCTGTGGAGCTCAGATAGAAAACCTTTTTTCTCCTTCCCTTTCTGCCATATGCTCTGAGCCAATCTGTCCAACGTAGCTGTTAAAATGTTAACAGACATCACACCTCGCTGACAAGTGTTGCAGCCAGCAAGCCCAGAGACAGGACACAGATTTATCTAGCAGATAATGGCTTTTGAACCAGTATACTTGTCTGGACTCCAAGCTCTGTAACTATAAGAAATACCCTATTTTATTCACCCCATTATTCCTCAGTTTAATCATCCTTTGGGATCATACTGCCACTGCAGCCAGCTCTTGTAGCGTAAACAAATCAAGACAGAGATCATATTCCAAAAGAGCAGCTTTTTATGTAAGAATGACTATCAACTGTATAAAGATACATCTTTTAAGAGTGAAGTAAGGCTTACCTTTTAATGTTAATCCATTATCTGCAACTCCATCGCTTAGGTTTTTCCTGACTACATTCTTTACATCTTCTAAAGCCTGAGGTGCCAGTGGTGTATTAAAACAAATTCTCTAACAAAACCCAAAAAGAGCATGTTAGAACCACTGGCTATTAAGCTGGACAAACAGTATGTCCTGTATGAAATACAGCCTTAAACATTCTGATAGCAAATGACAATCCAAATTTTTAGTGAAATCAAAGGTCTACAAGCTTTATTTTAAGTGCAAGCATTGAGGCTTGTACATTGTTGAGGCTTGTTTTTTTTAAGTTTTGCTGTTGAATTAAAACTTGAACAATGGTTAGACATTAAACTAACACCATTTCCGCTTTTACAGATCCATTCTTCTACAGTGCACTTGAGACTTAATATTTAGACCTGATTCACCTTACTACTATTCCTTCAAAACCAATCCCTTTGTTTTTCTAGAATTACACAGTTCAACTATCAAGCATGGCGAAAAGCTAAGGAAGAGTTACCTGAAAGAAGTTGAGCTCTGCATCATTCAGAGTGCCATCATTATCCTGATCAGAAATCCTAAAAATGCGAGTGAGTGCTTTAATACAGGCAGGTTTCATCTACGGAATGAAAGAAAGTTCAGTATCTTTCTAGGCTTGAACATAAAAAGATTACACTGAGTGACATCAAGCAGCTCAATCACACTAAAACAAACACTGGTCTTCAGTTTACTTTTTTAGAACAGACACATTCATACACAAAAATAAAAAGCAAGAGGAGACAAAATCCTGATCTAGCAAACTTATACCCATAAATTTAACGCAATTACTCCATGTTAAATGTCCTTCTATTCAATTACTAGAAGACTCCAAGCTCTTCACAAGCTGAAGGTGGCACTATATAGTTATTAAAAAAAAATAATAATCAGTTCCCTAAATTCAGCCTTGTTGTTACAGAAAGCTTTAAAAACCAACTGATTCCACCCCCAACATTTTTTGGAGGGGGAGGAAGGCCTTTGAATCCCAGTGCCTTGCAAATATAAATGACTCTAGAACTACAGCCAACTCTCTCTAAGCAAGCACACTATCTCTATTCACCACTACAACTATGGCTTCAGAAGGTTTCAAACACCAAATAGTGAAAACCTTCACAGGGCTCATTCATCTACCAGGCAAAGCACTGATCATATGGACTATCTCTATCACAGAGGAACTGCTAGGATACCTTCCAAGTGAAGGAAACCAGACACTGGTAACTCTCTCCCAACAACTATAGTGATGATGGACTCTTCTCTTCACAGAGGTCACACAGATTGCATAGTGATTGGTTTTGGAAAACCAAAGAGATTTCAGCACAACAATTTTATACAACATTACTAACTCATAAAGGTGATTCTGATGGAAGAAATCAAAACAGAGTTATTATCTGGTTCTCTACTTAAAGTACGACTGAAGCAACCTTCCTACTGTCCAATACTACACAGTGGTTATGTTTAGAGATTTTATTTGTATTTGCCCATGAAATTAATGTTTGGTTTGCTAAGCTAACTACCTGCAAGGCTTAACAACCAGCTACATCACTTGTTTATTATCTCTTCAGACAAAGTCTCACACAAGATGCTTGGAAAAGTTCTTTCCCTTAAATCAGGCCAAGTCTGGAGTATTTTCCCTGAAATAAATGGGGTTACTGTGAAATGCACATCCACAGATGAACTGAACGCAATATTTGCTCACATTACATCTGGCTTAAAGCCAATCCCAAAGCTTCTCATTTTACTTCACAGTTCACAGGGGCAACAGAAAACTGTCTTCACTGCTTTGAATAAAGAGGAAAGACAGATCAGATTAATACACCACCAATAAACCTGGCTCTGGCATATAATGCTTGACATTTGGGGTGGGTTTTTGGTAATAGAACACACCAAGAAATGCAAAATCCACTGAAAAGAACAGGAAAGTGATTAACTTCAGCCTTCCCCTTCCCAACCTTTTATTTGTTCTTTGAATCTATGTATAAATACCTCTTTCTCCTCTGGACAATAAAGAGGGCCTGTAGGATGTAGAACAGCTTTCTGTGCATAATAAAATAGCTCAGATATATTCTTCAAGTTTTTGGCTGAACACTGAAAGAGAAATCCTTGTATCGATTAGCTTGTGCCTTGGCTGCTTGGCAACTTCTGACATTTAAGCAAGCAACAAACTTTTAATGATCTAGTAAAGATCTAGCCCCCTCTTGTGGGTGCAGGGCTGTTTGGAAACAAGACATCTAGCCCGTGTCCTGTTCAGTAATTAACAAAGGTCTCACTACAAGAATAGAATATTAATTCTATTTTTGATACTCTGCAGACATCTGTCTACCTTATTCTATTATAATAATAGTATTAAATTTAAAACACTTGCTAAAGGCATGGATGTGAGAAGGCTCTAAGGATTAGAAGAATTTGAGAGTAACATTTGATTATCCAATAGTGTACTTTCTCTACAGAAAAATAACATATAAACTCACCAGGATGATTTAAATTTGAAATATTTTATTTTGAACAAAAATAAATAAAATCACCTTTTCTATTAAAAGTTGCCACACATGCTTGGCAAGAATGTATTCTTTGTTACTCATTCTAACTTCAGAAAGACTTGCATACCTCTACACATGTTTCTATCTCTGTATATTGATTCATAATGGGAAGGATAGTTTCCATACTGCTATATTCCACTAGATCAGACTTGTTTCCAACTAATATAAGAGGCAGCCTGAAACCAAAAATAAAACCCGTTAAGAGCTTTAAAGACAGAGGGATAAAAAGATCCATCTCAATTTAGCATTCCACCTCCCACCAGGAGCCCTTATATTATTTTCATGATGTAATTAAACATCACTGCAGCCGATAGGCAAAATTAAATGACAGCAGTTTTAAGTAAATGGTTTTGATACACACTTCAGACAAATGTTCTTCTAGTTGATACTACAACAAAAACCACACAGTGAAATGCAAAAGTAACTGATCAGATTGTTATACAAAACCAGCAGCAGTAGAAAATAGAGACCATATAGCCAAAACTAGCTAGACCATAACAAACACACACACCTGGTAAAAGCTGCCCATGAAACTGAAAATAAATAGCATTGCTGGCATATGTAACAGACCTACATACGTTAAATCTCTTGTTGCTTGGACTTCTTACATAAACTTTAAGTTTAATTTGATTTTCTCAAACAATTAACATCCTCAACACTGTCCATTGACACCCATCGATGTGCAGCCTAATTCACACTTCTCATCTTTACTTATGCACCTGCTATCTTTGTCTGTCCTTTCATTGATGAGAGGAATCCATCGACTTGTTACCTAAAGTGGGATTAAAAACAAACATGAAAAACACATTTTCAAACCTAATCTGACTGATCTGTGCACAAGTTTGACTATAACTGCTACTGCTCCTTTCCCAAGAAGGCACATATTTACCCACAAAAGAGAAACAAATTAAAACTGGAGAAACTGGAGCTGATTAATGAGCAACTTTCTCAGATGACTGAAAGGACTGAAAACCCAGATGCTGAAATGGACCAGAAGCAATCATACGTCTGTACATTCTCTTAACAACTTCATCCCAAACACCACCTTCCACATTTTAAAAGTGCAGTACAGTTTTTAGCTTGGCAACTATTAACAGTGCATGTTACATCTCAAACAATAATTGGATAAAATGTGTTACTATACCTTATCAATAGAATTCTTGTTGTTAACAGCATATACTATACAAATCACGTTTGCCTAAAATGAAAACGAAGGAAAGGGATGGAATTCCACTGTTTAGGATCTCTAGAGCAACAGAGACATTAAGAACCATATGTAACAACATCAGAGTAAGAACAGTTCCACCATCAGCCAAACACTGTCTCTGGCTTGTGTAAGCTATTTGTAGCCTGTAAAACAGCTTAAACCAAATAATACGTATGTTGAGAAGTGCCAAAAAGCCTCTCTTGCAGCATGACATTCACAGCTTATGCCTACAAAGAGACCTATGCTACCAAGAAATCTAAACTGAAGAATCCCAGTTTGCAGCCCCCACTCAAGTACTGAACTAAATGCCAGAAATGGAATACAACATCGTGACAGATCTTACAGCAAATGTACAAAGGTGCTCAGAAAGAAGTTAAAATAGGGAACAGAAGGAATGAGAAAATTATCAAGAATCCCATGCTATTCATAAATGCAATAGTACCATATGACAGAAGGAAGCAAAATGGAGCTGTCCAGGGTAGGACTGTTTCTTCACAAAATCTGTCAATCCCTTCATCTACTGATTGAAAGGTATTTATTGAGGTTCTGTCCTTTTATTTGGAAGAGCCAAAGCTAAAGCTCAATTCACCAACACAGTGGCAGTACCTACTTTTCTTCAACAGAGGAAAGTTTACACAGGGCACAAAACAAAATGCCAAGAAAGAAAAAGCAAGAGGGTTTTTTTCCTTCAGTTCAAACTGAAGCCCTTCTAATGCAGAGAACCTACAAGGAAAGACTTCTCCAAAAGCAGAGACTATTTTCTAGTAAACATGAAAATACACTTACCTGTGATATTTCATGGTAAAGCTGCTCATCACTTTGCTCAGCTTCTGCATTCAACAGAATAAGCCATTCATTACTACTACACATTTTCACTAACAAAACTGAGTAACTTACAGAACTCAGGTGGTGTATTTCACAATGCTGTCAGAGCCTTGTGAAAGCTCTTCTTACTTAAACATCTTTTGGTAAAATGCACTCCAGAGTGCTTCCGCTGTAACAACAATGAACTGATCCATTAACTCACAGTCTGTTGCACACAACTCAGATAAACTGAAGCTTAAGTCCAACAGAAAAACCTAACGTGTTATTTGTTTCAAATAAGCAAACACACCAAAGATACTTCCTCAGCAATAGTGAAAGAAAGAAGACAGGAAGGTGTCTCCTAACATGGCCTAATTCTTGGCTTCTATTATAAATGGCTGAAGGGTTTTGGTAGCTGTGGAACAGCTGCATGTATTTCTGATAGTATATGAACCTCGATATTGTGCCTATTTATTTGTTCAGTCAGGTCAGGGAGATTATAATGTATCAAAAAAGAAAATACAAAATAAGAAACTGACACAAAAGAATAAGGTGTCCAAACTCAGAAATTCAGAGAGACGTAGAACGTCAGGTACGTAAAGTCTCCTATGCTTTAGTAAATTCTTCACTTGAAAGAAAGAAAGATAGTTTTGAACTCTGAAATTACCCACCTCTGTCTGAACCTGTAAATATGTCTGTCACATAAAGAACACTAATTTCACTGGAATATTGCTACAACTATCGCTCATGGAAGTACCAAGAGCGGTTAATGTCAAACTTTGAATCAATAGGAGCAGCCATCACCATCTGATTTAATTTTATCCCATGAGTTTCTACTTCAGTCTAGTGGTTTCCTACATGTTAGTTTTGGTCCCATATCTGTATGACTGTTAATGAGGCTACAGAGTTAGATAAACAACTGCATATTAAACTAGTCACACTACAGTGTTGTGTAGTCCTCACCTGAATAATCCACTATGTGGGTTGGCACTCTTTCAGGGGTGACATCAGCTGGAATGGTGATTTCTTCAGCTCGTGGTGGAACCTTGGGTTGGAAAGAAACAGCAAGAAAAGGCCTTTAAAGATAATCCAGAAAATCCAGATGGTCAAAAAAAGTTGCATACTATAATAAACCTGCCAATCAGTCAGCTTGAAATAGAGCAACTTAGCAGAAGCTTTGTTTCTTTTTGTCACTGCTACTTTCTCATTCTTTGCCTACTTACTAAGGAACTTCCTTCATACTTTGCAAGAAAGCAATGTTGTTATGAGATTCAGTGAATGTTTCAGTAAAACTCAGATCCACTATAGCCAACCACTATAAAGAACAGCTATCATAGTGCAATCTGTGAACAAAACCTGAATTACAATTCACTTGAAACAAAAATGTCATAGAAATAAAACTTCTAAAATTTGGGGGAATGATCAAATTCAACCAATTGCTTTAAAGGACTACAAATTCCTTACTAGGAGAGTAACACTGGCGTTAACAATGCTATTATTGACAAATTGTATACTGTTTAACCTATGTTTAAACATTGAAATTTTTGCACTAGATATCCTGATCCTACTTTTGCTACAATCAGTACAAGAACTACCCCATAAAATCAAGATGTGCCAAAAAAGCCTGAGACAAAACACAGTCTCAATTTTTATACAGTCATAACCTGACAACTTCCTTACTTCTGACAGAGGGCTAACATTAAGTTCAGAGGAGCCTGCATACTAATAAAAATAATGATACTAATAAAGCGTGTGCTCTGCAAGATACTGTAACCTAGCTGTGACTGCTGGCCAATCTTCCAGAGAACACAATTCTATATTCAAGTAGAATCAAGTTAAACCTGATTTTAATGAACCTAATGCCCTTTACCTGCTGACACTGAACTTCCATAATGCTTTGCTTTCTTTTAGTAAAAAAGGAAAAAAAGAAAAGGTGATCACCAGAAGAACAGCTTTGTGTAAAGCTTCAAGCTCTACCTGTATCTCATCACGAACACCTACTGATAATACCTGGTATATTAAACACTATTTCAAAGTCTGAAATGTCTGTTATACACCCCCACAGCTCTGATCTGCATGACTGACTTGCAGGAATTGTACATCTCTTTCAGCAGTTTATAAAGGATGCAGTATAAAGTTATTTCTGTAATTTCAGGCAGATTTGGTGTCACATATAGATTATGCTTTTTCTCTCAAGAGGAATTTAGAGGAATATTCTACATTATACTGCGGGAAGAAACAGAGAAGCAAATAGAGGCCAGCAATTCACTAAATACATCAACAACCAACCTGTCAACAGAACAGCAGTTTAAGAACAAACAAAAATTGGAGCTCCTTTTTACCTGCAAGGTTGGAGTCTAAATTCAATTACGTGAGCAATCAAATGTTGACTCATGAGCTGCGGTAACCCACTGATTTGCATTAAACACAGCGCAGTGTAGATTCACAGAGAGCACATGATGTCTATTTTAAGACTTGTGATCAGAAGAAATAAACATTCATGTTTATATGTAAAAAGCTTAACTATTTGTAGCAGCTGCAGTTCTTTTTATGGCATAAAGGGAACTACGTGCTGCTTTTTTTTAAAAGGATAAAAGGTAGAAGTAGCTTTACTTTTTCTCTGGACGAAAGCAGTAAGTTTTCAGCGGTTTTTGCTTCAAAAGCATCAGTAAAGCATTCTTCAAAAATAAAAGCAAAGGCAATGCCTCATTTACAAAAAATGGCTAAATTACAGATACACAATGTGACTTGTTAATCCCTCATTCTCATTCATTTTGCAATCTACTTGCTCTTTTAAAACAACACAAAAGAGGGTCTTGCCTTTTTCAGCACCTTCCCATTTATGAATCTCTAATGTTAAAATATGCTGTCAGTTATGTCCAGTTTCAACTGCTTAAAAAAAACCTAACATTGTTCAGAAATTAATAAAATAGTTTAATTAACCATGTGAAAAACAAGAAAAGAATTTAGATACAATTTAAATTCCTAATCTTCATAGAGAGGTATATTTAAACCAACCTACATCACTCTTCCAGAAGTCATCTTTGCAGTCTGAGACTTTATTCTTTCTAAATAGGAAACATTATTTTAAAGCAGAGCCTATTAACTTACTCTTTGAACAAAATAATACAACAACACGATAGAAATAAAACTTAGCAAACAACAAAGGATGCTCTACCTCTTCTGGAAATTCTTCACTGACAAGAGACATAATTAGTGACGTCTTCCCAACTCTGGCTGCAAAAGCATTAGAAACAGAGATTAGATAATTTGGTTTTGTTACACTCAGCAGTTGCATCCCATCTTAAAATGACAAGTATTTTTAAAACACTTTCCAACTGACTATGTTGAAGGCTTTTCATCTGTTGTTTAAACATACTAAATATAGATGATAGCAATTCTCTCCCAATTCTTTTACCGTAAAACGTTAGGATCCATTTCTGCATTTCATCCAGATGGGAATCAAATCCTACTCTTTCTTACATAAAAGAATTAGCAGTGTTTAACCTTAATACAGAACACTTAAGCAAACAAAAATTCAAAACAAATTAGAAATGCTTTAATACGATTTTAATAAATAGAAAAAAAGAAAGCACACAAAAATGAATTTAGGAATTAAATATTTTCATAGTACTCTTGATATGATGGCCCTGCTTCAGTCCTGAACTACCAAGGATAAGAGCTGGACAAGAAGACATGGCTCTATCATTACAGACAAAGTCTCCACGAACTATTCTGACTGCTTTGAAAGTGCAAGAGCATAATCTCTTTGATACAAAGGAGCTGGACCTAGAGCATTTTTTCTAGCATGCATGTTTTACCAACCAAGACAATCCTCACAATCAGTCAGAGCCTGTATCACTGCTCCTACTCAAACCAAAATGAAATGTCACCAATTGACAGAAGCTGTTTTGCTGATACCACTTCATTTACACTTGTCTATTTATTGTACATAATTCTGAATAGGAAAGAGAAGATGAAATTGCACGTCTGTTTTCGTGTAGAAAATAATAGCACTGAACTGACGATTCAGTCAAAGTACGTTCAACTTATCCAAGTCTATTTTTGGTATAGTAACCAAGAGCCTTCTGACATCCAGAAATAAAAGCTTCTCTTTGTCACAGTAAGTTAAACAGTAGCTACTACAAAACTATGTAAAGCAAAGAAAACACTACCCTAGAAAGAAAGACTTTTGTTTTCCCTGAGGAGAATAGTTGTTCATTTTCCCTGGTGGTATTGGTTGGAGAGCAGCGAGATGCAGGCTTCTTAACAGCAACGTGGTTGTGTTTTCATCAGTGATACTCATACGAGCTAAAACTGCAATTTACACTGCCACATGCCCTCTTACATCAACTACATCTTAAGTTTCACCCTGACAGAATCAACAGCTTTAAAAGCTCTCCTACTTCTTTTAGACCATGCAGCATACAATAATTTACTGAACATATTCCAAAAATTTTTTGCCATTAAAAATTGATGTTTGCTCCCTGGATACTAGGACTAAAACAACCTTAAACCTAAAATGTAGACACTGGGCATTAAAAGGGCTGTGTTTTGGAACAGGCTTACGACAGGTCTTCATATATTTCAGAATCTGAGCCTGATGGTCTACTGTTATCATCTACCAAGAATTAGACGGTCTGGATAAACCTGTGGTTCAATAATAAAAAAAAAATAGATACAAAACAGCACTGACAGCATCACTGACGCCTTACCAGTCTGTAAAACAAATTTCTCCCTTCTGTGTGTTACACATCCATCAAAAACATACTATAAAAATGCTCAGAGTCTCTGATGTGTGCCATGTACTACACATTGCTGCACTGAAGAGACCTGTATGTTTGATATTTTCAGTTGGACATACTGTGAATCTATTTGCCACATCAAAGTACCTGTTACACCTGTCCTTAAACCACTATACAGAGCCAGTTCCGTTGCCAAAGGCAGAAAAGGAAAATAAGGCACATATTCTGAAGAGGAATTCAAAGGTATATTCAAATGCACAAATACATTTCTAAATAAACTGAGTCTTGCAAAACTAGCCACAAACAAGCTTAATGAGTTAACTCCTTCTGCACAGTACCATCTCCTGAAGATTCCTCTCTGAAGAAGTCTCAGAGGATCTTTCTAGGCAGTAGAGACAGAGCCAACCTGCACTATAAAACAGCTGCATAAACTGTACTATAAATATATATGGGGCATTCAGTTCTCAGGAAAGCCGTTAGTAGTACTACACTCTTAATGTAATTCGGTAATTTTACTAATAACACTTGGTAATTACTCTGCATTCTTTTCTTGTGAGGAGCTTACACGCACTTTACAAACTAACAAAACAGAACCTCCTTGCTGCCATTTACATCGGTGAGAAGCTGCGCCTTTGAAAGCCAGCCAGTTATTTAGGTACCGAAGCCTGAACTTCAGGACACCGTTTTAGGTACATCTGAAAAAACACAGACCCACTGTAACTCTGTCATGCACCGAAGTACGTACTGCTTATTCAAGGTCATACAGTAAGTTCGTGGCAGAAGCAGAAATCTGGACTCCCTGTCTCTCCCACAAACCCACAACACCCAGCTGATAACGGCTGGAGCACAGCTGGCCACTGATGTCCAAACTCATTAACACGTTTAAGTTTGGTTTCCATAAAAACCCAACCAAACCACAGGGCAGGAATTTCATCCCAGTTTCATCTCCAGGGACGTCCAAGCAGCACAACTCCGCAAGCTGACTTCCACGCTGCCCGCTCAGCAGCCAGCGAAGGGATGCGAGCAGCCGGCAGCTCCCGGCCAACCCCTACACGCAGGCTCCCGGGCCCGTCGGCGCGTCCCTGCCGCCGCGGTACCCGGGCACGGAGCACCCGAGCCCGACCTCTGACAGCCGCGCAGGGCCGGGGCTTCGCTCCGCGCCCGGGCGGGCCAAGGCGAATGATCCCGGGCAGGGTGCGATACCCGCCGCTCCGCAGCACCAGAGCGCTCTGACAGCCGGAGGCGCGGCGGCTCCCCCGCAGCCCAGTGGTCCCCGCCCTGCCCCACAGCCTCGGCCCCCGCCCTGCCCCGGCCCCTCCTGCACTCACGCTCTCCCACCAGCAGGATCCTCACGTCCTTCTTCATGGCCCCGCTGCCTGGCCCCGCCGCGGGGCGGCTCACATCGGGCTCGGCGGGGCGACCGGAGCCGCTGCGGCCTGGGCTCCCCTCACGCCGCGGAGCGGGGGCAGGCTACGGCGGCGGGCGAGGGACACACCAGGGAGCGGCGGGCCCGCGCGCCTGCGTGCAGCTGCGCGGGGAGCCCGCGGCCGCGCGCCGCCCGGAGGCGGCGGAAGGGCGCCGCTTCCCTCAGGGCAGAGCCGGGCGCGGGTCCCCGCGGAGGGGAGCGCTGCTCCGCGCTTCCCTGGCACCATCGCTCCTTAACGGGTTTCTGCCGCTAAGCAGCAGATTTCGTGCACCGTGATGAAACGGTGCTGGCTGCAGTGCTGCGCCGGCCACGTCAGTGCGTCCGACACACGGGAACGCATCAAGAGTGAGGCAATGCATCCCCTTTCAAAGTGCTGAGTAGTTTATGGGCCAAACAGTAACAAACTGCTGCTCCTGGCGCAGCTCGTACGTGGAAAGTGAGAGGTGCCCAGAGAGCCCATTGTGCTGGCGCTGTTCTGGTTCCAGATGGAGAAAAAGCCACCTCGGTGCTACAAGAGGAAGCGGCATGAGCAATGCATTACACTGATGGCAGAGCTACCCTCTGGTCCTGCAGAAGCTGATACAAACACCTCCGGGACCTCATCAATGTGTATTTAGTCCAGAGTGCTTTCAGAGTGTTCAGGGACAGCAAAGGAGGGTAATCTTGAAGATTAGCAGTAGTTCTGTCAGTGACTTAAAAAGACTTGGTTAAATGAGCTAGTTGAATCCCAACATGCTTTATTCACATTAAAATCCTTATTTGGTTCTGGAATGCTGAATTTCTTCTGAAAAAGCTTTTGCTTCCTGGGAACTGTTCTCAGTTTGCCTGCATGAAGCAGTGGTCCTCTCAGTTCAACTGCCAGGAGGTTTTGCAGGATCTCACTACAGCTAGGAAGGTGTGACAAACCAGGGCAGAAATGCTGTATGCTGGCAAGGAAACTCATAGAACCTCTTGATTCCTTGGGCTTTCTGGCAAGAAAAGGTTGTGCTTTCCATGACACTGCTGGTTGCTGGCTCTGTAAAAGTGCAGTAACGTGATTTATTAGCTGGTACAAACACATTTGAAAACATCTGCTTCAATGGTGGTGTACTCATGTCACACTACCATCAGGACTGACAACCTTTTGGCCTGAGCAGGGCTAAAAAATAATGCTAATGAGACAATGTTGTTCTGGGACACCTCCCTGGAATGTCAGGTACTCAAATACAAAGCGTGTTTCCTGGAATTTAGTACCTACCGCTAAAGAGAAAGATTTTCATGCATGAGATCAATAGCAGTCTTTCCTTTCAGCATTCCTTACTCAATCAGATCTTTCTGAAGAAAGCGCACTTGACAGAATGCCATAGCATTGTCTGTTCTCCTGTAATTTATTTGGATCAATGTAGGAAAACAAAGTCCATGGGAAGAGCTTATCCTCAGCTTCAGAGCTTCCTTAGTGCATTCCTTCCTAGAAATACCCTGGGAGTACTTAAAGCCGCTTAAGAAATCCACTCGGGTCCCACAGGGATGGTTACTACTTTTAGCATACATTGGAACTGTTTTGATGAAGTATCGTTAGATCTGAGCACAGCATGAAGAAGAACAGAGCAGAGAATGGATCAGTTGCTAATTCCCAGTAAAACCTTGGTGGCTACACACTCCTTAGTAAATTCCTGTGCTAAACATTGAAGCCTGTAGAGAAGCTCTGCAGTAAGAGGCAAAACTGCCACTTTTCTGAACAGGTTTTTATGTCCCATTTGTGTGACTTATAGTTAAAGATCCATTTATTTCTAGGCCATATAGCCAGAAAGCAGGGTAAAGAGGATTTGAGGTACTGATTTCAAAAGTATGCAAAAGCATTTCTTTGTCAGTGATGGAGTAAAATGACACGGTCTTCTTCTGTAGCTCCAGAAAAACGCCAACCTTCAGTGGTTTATCCTTGTGTAATAACGTTTCTTGATTCCTGTGCCATGCTGACAGCTGCTTTCTGGGACCTAGCCATTCCACACACCAGGAATGCTCCGTTCTTCCTAGTTTTTCCCTTTTACCAATCATTTTATGAGCAACTCCAACAGCCCATCCATCACTGTCCTTGGTAATTACTTCCCAGTAGTGGCACCCAGTAGAGAAGCTCTGTGAACACATCACTTGGCTGATGCAGAATCTATTGGGTGATGGTCCATAGTCAGTTGGGTGGCTGGAAACCATGACTTTTCTGTTCTGGGCTGTGATTGCTAAGCGCTCATAGACTCTTCTGAGATCAAAAGTCACATCATCTGCCCCTAGAAGAGAGAAAGGAAAATATTCTCAGTTACAGGCAACAGGAAGGCAGATCCCCTCTATTTACATGCATTCTAAATGGCAGTGGATGTGGCTCCCTATTCAAGAACAGAAATGAAAACCAATAATTATACAATACACATTAATCAAAGTTCAATACTGCAAACCAGCAAGAACCATCATCCAAATACTAACAACTCTATCCTGAGCATACTGAAACATTTAACGGGCACAATTGTGTAAACATCCATGATAGACTCATCCACTCCAGTGGGAGGGTGGAGGTACTACTCACAGTCTCATAAAAAGATGACCCTTTTGCCAATAATAAATGGGATGCTTAATAAAACTTACAGTCATCTTTTTACTGAGACATGTTCTTGCATATTTTATCTGCAAAACTATTTGTTTTGTGTTTTAAGCTACAGCTGCACTACTGTGTGTTGACTGTAAAAACATTTCTGTAAAAATGATGCAGAATTCAGACAACTGGAATCATTACAGCTTAACACAGTAAAGAGCAGTAAGGTGCAGTAACTGCCTGTGTTACCAACTCAGACTCTGCAGCCAGCATAATCTACAACACAGCTTATATACCTCCAGGAAGCAAGTTTCTTATCCTTTTTATCTTGCATATGCAGGCAGGTATAATATTGCCTTATGCTACAGTCACTGATTCATTTGTGGCAACCTCATTGTTTTCCTGTGCTTCAGGTGAACAGCAGATCTGCTGTTTATAAGCACAGTTTTCTTTAGCAAATCCACAGTCTCACAGTCACTTGAATATTGTTATGGAACAGTCATGCTGACTTGCATACTTACACTGGGAAAAACGGCTTGAATTCACTGGTTCTGGACTTTTAACTGCAGACTCTGGAGATAAGGAGCAGGCACTTGTCTCTTGACCCAAGTCTGGTGGTTCCACTATACATGGAAAAACTGAAGTGTTAAGGCACTTCTTCAAAATGTAAATAGGAAATATTCATGCTTCTAAAGGAAAATAAATAGCTAGGTAATGGTCAAAGTACAAAACAAAGAGTTGCTTTTTTGATTCTATAAAATAACTATAGACTATTTTTATCCATAATCAACAAAACACTGTACACTGCTATCCTGAGTGTGGTCAGAATGGAGTAGTCAGAAGAGTTAGATGGGCAAAGCAGTTGGATTTTCCTATGCATATAAGCCAGTTTCTGTCATAGAAGTTTTAAGTGTTCATTTATTTCTGAGTATCATGCATTTCTTGTGTTACTTGCATGTGCAAAGTCATTATTTAACTCTGACTGAAAAGCCTGACATTCAGCCCTAAAGCTTCAAAGGCTATTTCTCATTTTCTGTGACATTATAGTGTATATTCACAAGACTCATTTGCAGAGCTTTTCTGGTATAGTTACATAATACATTGGCTTCATCATGAAAGCTGTCCTCAAGAGTTCCTTCCCGACAGCTCTGCACTCTGATTCCTCAGGTTTGCTACTAAAAAATGATTGTGGAGCAAAGCTGTAAACTCAGTTGCTGAAATGATTGAGATAAGAAAAATGCTGAGTTAAAAATATGAATAAGAATCTGTGGGTTTTTTTTGAGGACCAGTGCTTGGAAAAGGCAGGGAGTATTGGAAAGGGTAGGAAGGGGAGGATTGCCCCTTGGTGGCAGTGGGATTTTAGATCAGTCTTGAGTTGCTCTCAAAAACACTTGGTGGTCTTTCTCCAGCAGAAGATAGTGCTGGGAGGAGAGCTCCATAGCAAAGGCCACACCTGATGTAGAGCTTTGCTTAGTCACAGCTTTCTGTGGGAGGGAATTTTGTGTCTGCTTTTAGCAAAGACTTTGCTGTTACATTACTCTATGTTTAGAAAAAAAATATTTAAATAGATTATGTCTCATTCTCCACTTCTGATCTGCATGTCAGTCAGTTCTCTCCTTTTGGGCTCCCATGAAAGTATAAAGTAATGATGCTGTCTCCAAAGCTGCAAGGGGTTTTATAATAATCACACAGATGCAGAGCTGCTTTCTCTGAAGGACCCTACTAGATCCACTCCCTCTAAGAAAGAGATTTCAAACTAAGGAAAACTCACCTGGTGTTAACTGCTCAGGGTATTTCTCCAAAAGCAAAATTTCCAACTTTCTCTTAAGAACTTCCACAGCACTTTTGACAACATTCAGTTTCTCATCAAGTGTAATTTTATCCATTATTGAAGGCAAGTCTCTGTACCTATGTCTCTCTGGTAGGGTGCTCTAGTAATGACATAAAAGAATCAAGGGGAAGGTGTAAACAATAGCAGTTATTTCATCTAGCATATCAGGTTATACTATAAAGCCAGAGTGGAAGAACAGCAGTTACCCCTCAAAAATCTTATTCTTTGTATTAAGAGCTTCCTTTATGGTATAATTATCTGAGAACTAACCTGAAATCTTACAGAAAATAAGAAAGGATAGTTTATTCTTAATGAAAAATGAAATACTCTGTTTTCCCCAAGAAAACTAAGAATGGAACTAATTTTTCTTGTATATATGTATATATATGTTTTACAACTTCCTTAAATATACATATGTGTACACAAACTTTCTCTTGTTAAACCTTCTTCTTGTTCCAGAATGCAAACCAAAATTTTTAACATGTATTAGTATGAGATCTAGGATAAATTACCTACAAAAGGATAAGCCTTATTTGCCTAAATTTAGGAATTGTAGAAATTCATATCTGAGCTTTTTCTCTTAGCCTGCATTTACAGCCTCCAAAAAGAAACAGGCCTTCTCGTTTGCAGGTAGGAGACTCAAGCAGGCCAGATGACTCATGCTCTCAAAGTTCTCATTTGTCTTTATTGTCTATAGCAGGACTCTGGACCACATACAAATACATAGTTACACCAGATGAATTCCAGTGTAGGACCTTGTAGCTTGGCCTGGAAGTCCACTTCTGTCTCCTGGCACTGTCACACGCAGCGAGCCCCACTCCAAATCCCTGCTAGCTAATTTGCATCACAGGTGTTTTTGTTTTCAACATCAAAACGGGCTCTGCAAACCTTAAAGTATTTTAACTGCCTCTTTTGAGAGGCCTTGACATATTTTCCCCAGAAATTGTTAGAGAGTACTTAACTTTGTGAGATCTTTAATATGTGTATATACTTATTCTGGAAAATAAGAAGATAATAAAGGATCTTACATTAACCTCAGATTTGACTCAGGACTGGATTTAAGCCATGCAGTCCTTACTTCACTCCAGCTTACCAATATCCTTGGAACAAATCTAGTTCTAGACTGCATTCCCAGACTATGCCTTTTCTAGTATTTTTTCCCTCTGAATATCTCACTCCAAACTCTCCCTGGTAACAGCAATGTCTGTGGATCACTGTCTCGACTGAGAATAGTGTAGTGGGGACCTGGAAGTGCTCTGTACATATTCAGCTATCCAAGACATTTAGCCTAAGTTTCTACTCATATTCTGCCACTCCATAACTTACTGTTTCAGCTGTGATGTCTGCGAGCCTGTTCACTTCAATGCAGAGCTGCTGAATAGTCTCTTCAATTTTCTCTTCAGCTGCTTTTTGCTCTTGTTCAATGAACACCAGTGTGTGTCTCTCCTGTCTTTCAACATATTCCTTCATGCAACTGAAATCTCTTGTAATCTGGTTTTTGATCTGAGATGTATATTCCTGAATGGCAGAAAACATGGAAGTTCATTGTTTCATTAGGACAGAAGTGTGGAATATGAGAAACTACTGCCCCACCTAACATGCTCTTTGACTGACCCTTGCAGAGGAGAAACAGCCACCTTTATTCAAAGGAATAAAGTATATTTGACACTATCCTGCACTACCTGAAATCAGATTTTGGGCATGTTAAGGATTTTTACTATTTTATGGCCAGCGGTCTTGGCTAGACAGCTCATAAAAATCACCATTCCCTCTTTATGATTTGCATTTTGCATCTAACAGCACTGGAAACATTCAGCTTACTCCTGGGGTAGGCAGGAAAAGGCAACATGCACAATTCCAGCAGCCTTTGTGCTAGCCAAAGCAGCAGTTAATGCAGCTGGTGCCATTGCTCATCCTCATCAATAACAACTGAGGTGTGACAGCAAAAGAAGGAAACAAAAAGGCAGATTCCTGCTTTGGGCTGAAAGACTGCAATGGAGTCAGCCTCTCCAGGAGGCAGTGGAAACAAAAGCTAACTGCAGGTAATGAATGTACAATGTGTACCTTTGTTTTACTGAGCTCTTCTCTCAAGAGGTGGATGGTCTCTATAGTCGCTTCCATTTCCTTCGAGATGTCCTGTATCTCTTCCTCCTTTAAAGTGACACATTGGACCATTTATCCATATACCCCTCTCAAAGAAAGCATGTCTATGTTAAGCAGCAGGATAAAAAAAATCCCTACATCATAGTTAATCAGTGGACTGCTTGAGGGGTCTGAAGACACAACTAATTCTGAGGGGAAATCGTAACAATGAAGTCAATATGCAACAGTCACCAATGACATGTTCAAATATAATTAAGCTTCAGACTGCAGAGACTGAAGATTACATTTTATATACATATGTGCTAAAATAATGAGAGTCAACAGGTTTTTCTCATCTCTTTCAAGTTTGGGAGTTATTTCAAGCAGAGATCTAGGTAATGAACCAGTCCCATTTTGTGCCATTCAGCTGGGTGGAGCTGTAGCACTGTATAATAATGTTATGTGTTCTTTCGGCAGTCTCCAATGCTATGCTGATGCAATAACTAACACCCAGCACAGTTAACTATTACTATGGTACATCAGCTGAACACACACAGCTATCAGCTCTTTCAGTTCAGCTCTGCAGTCCTCAGTGTATCAGATGCCGCCCAGACACTGCTTTAGCTAAGCCCGTCTGCTCAACATACACGATATTGTTACGACAGCGCTAATATTAGCACAGGAAATGCAAAGCATCCGGGGTGGAGAGCAAAAAGATAAAGTTCCGTGAGTCGTGGCCATGTCCCCATGTTCACGACACCATGGGTTGTCCCAGAGTGTCCCGGGGAGGAGCCCCGCTCCGCCTCTGTCCCTACCTTATCCCTATGTCGGCTTCCCGCCGAGCTCTGGTCGTTGCAGGCAACAGCTGCGGAGAGCTTCGGTTCATTCTGTGCTTCCAACTCTTCTTCCTTTACCTCTTGCTGGACCAGGTTCACCAAAGCGGCCAGCTCCCGGTTGGGCCGCAGGTCCTTCAGCTCGAAGCCCTCCCGGCAGAGCGGGCAGACTGCGCGCTGCTTCCCCTTGCAGTACTGGAGGACGCAGGGCCGGCAGAAGCTGTGGCCGCAGACCGCGAGCCGCACCGGGTCCGCGAAGTGCTGCAGGCAGCAGGCGCAGCTCAGCTCCACCGCGCGCAGCAGCCGGCCCAGGGGCACCGCGGCAGCCATGGCCCGGCGCGGGGCGGAGCGCAGCCGAGCGGCGCTGACTTTCGATTTCCCCGGCTCCTCTTCCCGTGCTCCGGGAGAACGCCGGGGGGGCGGGCTCTGCCCCGGTACCTGCTGCGCTGGAGACCTCGGGGTTCCACCGGGACCGGGCAGCCCCGCTCCAGCCAGGAAACCCGGTGCCAGCCCAGCTCCTCCTCTGCCGGCAGCCTGGTCCGAGGATTCGGGTTGACTGCAGACATGAACTGTAGCCATGCACTGCAGAGCTGTCCATGACCCGGCCATGACTTTTACTGACTCTCAAAAAAAGTTGCTGTTATCTGCACAATTTCATTTTCACAGGGAAGTTCCCCGTTTTGTAACCATCAGAGTTGCTGACAGGGCTGGTCTGGGGAGCAAGCAACATGGCACAGCACCACTTGCAGAGCCCCATCTGTGTGAAGTTTAGCGACTGGATGGCCAGAGCTATGGTGAGGTCATCCTGGGTTAGTCAGTTCATTTCAAAATGACAGTAAACTTACATTAAAGCAAACGAAGACATTGTTCCTCATACAAGCGAGGAGGTGCTTTCCTATTCATTTTGAGGGCTGCAGGATTAGGCTGTTGAAAAGATTTGCTGAACCAGCATGTGAACTAGAATGAATCATGTTGCACAGGGAGAGAGGGAATACAGGGAGGTTCATGGGATCATATCCACGGGCAAAACTGCTGCAGATTGCTCAGAGTTGGGGGGCGATGAGCTCACTGAGACAGGCAGAATGGTGATCCCACTTAAGCTATTCTTCTGCACTACTGGGGGGAGGGGGGGCGGGGGGGGGGAGAAGAGAGAGGGAAACAAAACCAAACCCAAAGAGTTAATCTTGCTAATCCCTGCAAGTATTAGCACTTCCTCGTTTCTGCAGAAGAGAACTATTCCGGGTATCTAAGACTGGCTGGCAATTGTCAGCAAAAGATGGAAAACCAGAAACTTAGTCTGCAAGACTTCCTCTTGATTTGCAAACTAAGGCTATTTGAAAAGAAGAATTAAGTATCTGAATGACTGGCTGCTTGGTAGAACCAAATCTCAGACTTTGTATTGAGGAAGAAAATACTTAGTGTACCCTATCAGTGCACATCTTCATCAGTTCCTGCACAGAATGGATGTGAATGGTACCTGATCAAGAAGTACCCTCCACTTCAGTGCTCGTCCTCATTCATCAAGTGTCTCCGAGCAAGTCATTGGAGATAACACTTTCAAAACCAGTTTCTGCTTTTCAATTCTCAGACTAATCAAGCTCATTAAGCTTCAGCTGTTTTTTAGGTGCTGAGGCAGATCAGCATATGTTCATCCTGTGCTCATCTGGGTTTGCTGGGCACTATGTGGAAATATTTGGTATTCACATGTTGGATTTGCAAATCATTAAAAAGTCAAGCAATAGAGATTGTTGAAAGCAAGGAGCAATGAATGTTTGTCATTAGAGCGAGTCCATTACAGTACATCCACAATTCTTGAGTTTTATTTTTTACAGTGCTGAAAATGCAACACTGTAAAAGACACTGAACCCACTTGGTTGAAAATCACTATGTTCCTGTCTGGAACAGCCAGATGGAATGCATGAATCTGCTCCTCCCTGAGAAGTACATCCAGTGACTCCAGTATGAATTGGTATCTAAAATCTATCCAACAGATCCCGCTGCATCATCCTTATAGGAGACAGTGCCTTTGCCCCTCGGTCACTATGTACCCATGTGACCAATGACCCCCCGTCACTGGCAGGATACATGCCACTGCCTGGATTGTCAGGTATGTCCTTCAGGATGTACAGGAGTCCTTCTGACATCAGATCAAGGCAAGAAAAGGAGGAGCTGACATAACAGCACCTGCAGGAGTCCTCAAGGAAATGCATGCCAGTCCTGGGGTCGGACTTTCTCCATTGACTTGGTGTTTTTTTCCATGAGACAACACTGGATGATTCATCCCCGTCAGGCTGGGAAGTCCTCCTCTGCTCAAAAGCAGCAGAGGGTAGGAAGAAAGAAGGCACTTCAAGTGAGGTTCTGCAGGGGCACAGATCATTTCTGAATAACTGCACTCCCCCTTACCCATTTCTCTGTTGCCACCCTTCCTGTGCCTGTGGTTTTTGAAGAAGCAGCCCCTTGTACTAGAGTCACTAGGGCCTGGAGCACCATCCTTGCCAACAGAAAGAGGCCACAGAGCAACGCCAGAGCCCAAGAAGTGCAGTTCACCAGAACTCAGTGCTAGTCTTAACCAGTCAAAGGCTGGGCAATGACTCCATTTAAGGCATCTATCCACTCCCTCTGCTCTCTTTCGTTCTCGCATACAAACACGAACTCTCTCGTTGGTGTGACCACAGTGATCGCTGGTTTCTTCTTCACCCGGACTCCCTGGGGCACACCAGCTCGCACTTCATATCCCTCATCCATGGTTCCAATTAAAACCTGGCCCTGTGCAAATGCATCCTGGAAAGACAGAAGCAGAAGACAGCCATTAGCTCCAGCAGACACTGTGCTATCCAAACAGCTCAGCTTCAAAGAGATCTACTGACAAGGGAGATGAGCTCTTGAGACTGAGCCTGCTTCAGTCTTTTGCAGCCCGTGGAAAAACTGGATGAGAACAGACCCTTCCCTCCTGACCCACCTTCATGTGGAATAGCAAAGAACACTCCTCTTACCAGTGGTTTTTTAAAGTACATCAGGTTCCTTTCTTGTGAATCCAGGCAGAACCAGCGCACCTTAAAGGGCTCCTTCTGCTGCAAGGAGATGGTACAAGTTCTTTAAAGACCAAGTCCCACAGGGGAGTTCCGCCTATTCAAGGCAGATCCCTGGAGTGCTTAAATGTCTCAGAGACTGAGTTCAGTTTAATTCATCCCCGTAATGGGCGAGTCACTGCTGTGTGCAGCCCTCATCCCACCTTCTCCCTGGGTTCACACTAGAGATGTGCATTTAGTGACAATCATTTGGGTAAGACAGGCAAGTTTGTTTCTACCAGTGATCAAATTACAGAGATTAAGAAAGTTGCAGCAAATGGATCCATTGAAAGCACTGCAGAGAATGATTCCTGGGCCAGTGGTGCTAATGTGCAATCACTGTTCAAACAAGACCTCAGATCTTCATCTTCTCCTTCACCATGCCTGAAAACTCCCCCTCCTGTTCCAAGAGGTAGTGGCCCAAATACTTTCCTACAAAAACCCAAACCAAACCACAGGCTTCACTGTGGAGGATTTCTCAATCACACTTTGCTGCTATAGGCAGATGTGATTTATGTGCTACAGACTTTAAGAGAAACGGGGAAGTAGGGGAGTCAGCATGTGATGTTCTGTTCTAGCAGGAGCTGCAGTTAGCAGATAACAGCAATCCATTCTGTGTTGCACCACAGGACTTTGCATGTCCACTGCCAGCTAATCCATCTTGCTTATTCTTCAAAGAGGATTCCCCTTCCTAGTCTTATTTTCCACACAAAATAAAACATGATCCCCAAGAACATGACAGGCTTGAATATAAAGTCTTTTATCAACCCAGGAAGCGTACAGTCACTCAGCAAATCATTTACTAGCAAACATCACAGAATTATCAAATACTCTCCACCTGGAATAATCTTGTTTGTGTACTGCTAAGTATGTGCTTACTTTTGGTCCCGTTTTCTCCATGTATCCTTCCTTGATATAATTTCTTGTGATCCTGGGTATGAGCTGGAAGAATACAAACACAAAAAAGTCTATGTCTATCCCAGCCCAAACCAGGACAGCATGTCTCATTCAAGCTTGCTTTGCTGTTCTGTTTCTGTCAAAACTAATCACCGTCAATTTTGGCTTTTGGGGTCTGGGTTTTTTTTTGGCTGCTCAGTAAAGGGAAGTCTGAAATAAGAAGGAACATAAGATTTTTGAAAGATTACACTTTATAAGGACCACATAGAGACTTTTAGGCCTTAAAAGTTGACAACGGTTTTGCATGTTATGCAGCGTGCCCTTTCTTTCTCCCTCTTCTGGCCATTCCAAGACCCATACTCTGCTGTTTGAGCACCTGACTGACAGTAGTGAGAAAATGTTTCCCTGTGCTATGTTTACAGAGCTTCAAGCCCTGTTCAGTTCTCACCTCAGGCTCAGGGACATTTGGGAAGGTTGTTCTGAGATAATGGTAACGTGCTGCCCGAATGGCATTGAACCAGTCAACAATCTCCTAGGGAAAACAGCAAACACAAACATAAAGACAAGAAAAGCAAGTAGGAGTGCTGCCTCTCTAAAATGTTTTTCTCCTTTCTTATAGCCTCTGTGCAAGGATGTACTTTTGTACCACAAAAACCTTTGTGGTACTCACCTTTCCACTTTCGTGATAGACAAAAAGGTTCCTTCTTTGACCATCTGTGTTGTATGTGATCTGCAGCCCATGAGCGTGTTGGATTTTATCTGTCTGGAACATTGCATTCAGATTCTCAATGCTGATAATGGCTTTTGGACCTCCAAACTGTGAAATGAAAAACATCATATTAAAGTGCTCTCAGGGAAGGTAATGGAGGACAGATTTAACTGTATGAGAACTAGCTCATACATGTATGAAGAAAAAGCAGACATCCTAAAATACCTGAATATTGGATATGCCCAAAATATTAAGCCTTAATTATGTGCTACATAAAATCACTTTCAAAGAGTGATTCCCTTGCCTTGACAAATGCTGAGCTGCTATTTGAGAGGGATGTGTCTGAACTGCAAGAGGTGGGTCTATCTATCTCCAGCCTCAGAGCTGGAGAACAATTAGCTACACCCCCTGCCAAAGGGAGACACATTGAGGATGGTGCTGCAGTAGTTGATGAGAGAATATTTTGCTAACAGCTGCTAACAGATCTCTTCTTCATCTTGCTGTTCAAGTGCCAGTATCCATTTCCTTTGTTCACTAAGCAAAAGGAGGCTGCATTGTTAAGATAAAGGATGAGGAAAAGTGCTGAATCTAAAAGAGCAATTGCTTAAGGTAGCACATATGTTAATGGGAAGACATCTGGGCTCCTGCAAACACAGGCTGGCCTTGCTTGCAAAACTAGAGACAAAGCTATTTATGCTGGGTTTTGCTGGTGAAGAGCAGGGTTTGAGGATGGATGTTGACCAGCTACCTGCAGCAAACTCTGACTGAGGAACTCACTTCTTTGGTGTAGTACTTCATCACTCCTTCCCTTGCTGATAGGAGAAATCGTCTCTTACGGAAGTGCCTGTTTTCCCGTCCACGCTTCCAGAGGAATCCTTCCCGGCTGCCTGCATATCGGA